CTACTGGGGATTGAGCTCACAACCTGGGCATGTGCTCTTGACTGGAATGGAACCTTCAGGCCGCAGGCTGAGGCTCTATCCACTGAGCCAAACCAGCTAGGGGCGTAAAATCCAGTTTTAGTAAAAACTGCTTCCTCCGCCTGGATATCTGATCACCCTCATATCTGATCAGGTTCTTCATCCTCCACCACCCACCAGGTGGTGTCTGATCACTCTGGCCTGTCTTTAGCAAGAATCCTGTTAGGTCAATTTAGCCAGAATCTCCCTTCTCCTCTTAGTAATTTTCTATCCATCGACCCCTCGCCCTGGTGCTTGGCTGTGCATTCCCACTTGCCCATGCTGTATTTGGAATTGAGCCCAGTTCTTATACTGAGATGTCTTTTCCCCTATTACAATAATCCTGAATAAAATCTGTTTTACCACGCTACTATCCAGCTCTGGTTTTCTTTGACATAGATGAGTGATTTTTTTTTTTTTTTTGCAGAGGTCTATTGTCTTTTTATTTTTATGTCCACTTTCCCTTGCGCTTAGTAGTTCCTTAGTAATGTTTTCTGAATGAATGAGTGATAGCTAGTCTGAACCCCTTCTAGATTTTCATGAATCTTTGATATTTATGGTACATGTGCCCTTCTCGTTTTTTGTACCTAGCAACAGCTGCTTTTTGTTATTAGGAACCTAAGAACAAACCCTTGGGTGTGATTGTATATGGCTTTTATTCCTTACTGAAAGTTGGACCATCTTATTAACATTAGTTGGTTACTAAAGAAATAATCACATTATAACCAGGTCCAGAGAACTGACTCTTTGGACCTCAGTGACAGATTCCATTTTTATTTTATTTTTTATTCATTTTATTATTTTTTAATCCTCATCCAAGGATATTTTTGCATTGATTTTTAGAGAGAATGGAAAAGAGAGGAAAAGACAGAAATATTGATGTGAGAGAAACATTGATTGGTTGCCTCCTGTACGAGTCCTGACCAGGGCCCGACCAGAGCCTGTGTGGGGAAGGAGCCTGCAACCCAGATACATGCCCTTGACTGGAATCGAACCCAGGACCCTTCAGTCCTCAGGTGGATGCTGTATCCACTGAGCCAAACCAGCTAGGACTCCATATTTAATTTATTTTATTTTAAAAATATAAAGGTAGAGAGAGAGATACACATATGCACAATAGAGAGATAATTTTTTAATTTGTACATTGACCATTTTAGGTTATACTTCTGGCTGTGACAAAACTGTTTAACATAGATTTTACGAAATTACCCCGGTTATTAAAAATCATTTTCTAAATCTTAGAAATTCTTCAGTTCCCTCCCAGCATTCAGATAACTTTCTATCTTTTGAGCAAATACTAATTTTTATCATTTATGCATTCTGCTGATTCTTGAGTACTTGAGCCTTTTCCTTGGCAGACTTGGCCTCTAGGACAGCCTTTTTATGCATCCTTTTTTTCCCTGTTCCAAGATCTCCACTGCTCTTTGGAGATATCTCTAAATATAGGATGTTCCCCCAAAATGAATGCACACACTTTGAATAATTATAAGGGCAGTGTTTATTAAAATATATTTCATTTTCAAAATTGAGTTATCAGCTGTTAAAGTGTATGTACATTTTTGGGAGGGACACCCTATATATTTCCTTTACCTGCTATTTATTGCTTAGTTCTATAAAGTGCTTGAGTTTCATCCTGAAGATCAAGAAGCATACTATGGATGTGAGTGCCATGGCCAGACACATGACCTACTTGTCAAACTGTGCAGTTACAAATGAACTGAGTTAAATTCTAGTGAATGGCAACATCATTATTGAATCACCTTTTCTCTCAGTCAGTTTATACTACAGAAATGTGTTGCTTTTTGTTTTTGAGAGGGCATCAGTTTGACCTCATAACTAGAGATTTTTTTAAAAGTATGAAGTAGAAATAAGCAATGGCATTCATTGTATATAGCAATTGATGCAACAGACTGGGAATGGAGGAGAAATTATTTTTGTTTTGTTACTTAAAATTTTTGTTTTTATTTATTCGTTTTATCACTAATTTTTAATCCTCACCTGAAGACATGCTTTTTTTTTTTTAAATATATTTTATTGATTTTTTTACAGAGAGGAAGGGAGAGGGATAGAGAGTTAGAAACATCGATGAGAGAGAAACATCGATCAGCTGCCTCCTGCACACCCCTCACACTGGGTATGTGCCCGCAACCAAGGTACATGCCCTTGGCCGGAATCGAACCCAGGACCCTTGAGTCCGCAGGCTGACGCTCTATCCACTGAGCCAAACCGGTTAGGGCCAAAGACATGCTTTTACTGATTTTGGAGAGAAAGGAAGGAGAGAGAGAGAGAGAGAAACATCAATCAGATGCCTCCTATTCACGCCCCGACTAGGAATGGAACCTACAGCCCTAGGCATGTGCTCTGACTAGGAATCAAACCCTTGACCTTTTGGTGTACAAGGTGATGTTCCAACCAACTGAGCCACACTAGCCAAGGCAAAAAAGTAAGTCTTTGTTGATTTGAGAGAGAGAGAGGGAGAGAGAGAAACATTGATGTGAGAGAAATTTGAGAGAGAAACATCGATCGGTTGACCATACTGAACCTGCAACCTGGGCATATGCCTTGACAGGGAATCGAACTGATCTACATGGGCCAGGAAAAAATTTTTTTAATGTTAGCTAGAAATTTCTTAAAGTGGTGAGACATCATTATTGTGCTAAATATTTAATATTTTTAGAAGACAAATCATTTTAAAGTGAAAAGCAAGAATGATGAAAAAGAAAAGGGGCAAGAGATTGAGAGAATGATTTAAGAATAATTGTGAGTACTTAAAGAGGGCCTCCTTCCTCCCATTGTGATCTCCCTTTGGTGAAAATGGCAAACAAAAGCCAGCAAATAGGGAAGGAAGCCGGAAATCCCAGTTAGTGACTGTCAGATTAGAATATTTAAGTCATGAAAATGCATGCTTCTCTTACATTTTAATGCTTTCCTTCCCCCCAACTTGTTTTTGCTCCCCTTTAAATTGCTTTAAAAAGTTATTATTTTTTCATATCTTTTTCCTAGTAAGGATTCAATTAAATAAAATTTGGAAGGCGTATATTATAATGTGATTGTGCAAAACCAGGTAAATTTTTGAATTTTGTGATTTGGGGGAAACCATTCCAGAATTTATTTCATTACTTCCTATGCCAATATTGCCTCACTCCTCAGCCAGGACCCCTTTTCCTCCTCTCGGTAGAAAACTGAAAAAACTTAGCCTCAAATAACAAAACTAAGATAAAAATAAGGAATCTTGTCTGGTCCTTGTATCTCCTCTGTTCCTTGTAGTTTTTTTACTTCTTGGCTGAAAATATGTTAGAGAACCTTGTTGAAATAAAATCTCATTTTGTGATTATATTCAGAAAGCAGTTTCTGGGATTAGGAAGGGAAATTATCTCCAGCACAGCAGTTGTAGGATTTTTTCCGGAGATAAATTGCTTTTCATAAATACTCTAAATTTTCAGTCATAATGCCCTTGGTCTTTGCATTTATTTACTTTTATTTAGTTGTATTTATTTTTTGTACTATGTTGTAGTTCCAGAAAGTGCTAAAAAATCATCATGTATTTAAAACAAACAGATAAACCAGAAAAATCCCCTTGTCCTGAGGCTGTGTGAAGAAAAATAAAGCTCTCATTTTCCCAGTACCCAATCATCAGCTTGAGCTGTCCTCTCAGGAACACAATTTATTGAAGCAATTTATCCTGGCTAAATGCGATATAAATCTGTGTACACCTACGTACATGCAGGCTCTCTTCCATTACAGCAATAATGCCGCAGCACCAGTTTCTTCATAGTTAGACCCTGTTCCTGTCACACTGAAAGGTGACTAAGAAGCCCTCTCTATTTTACGGGCACCCCACAATTTTAAACACCGATTGGTTGTGGAATTACTGATCAGACTACCAGAAATACTGTTTTCCAACCCCAGAGTGAGTCTTCGAGAGTTGAAGAAGCATTGTTACCTAGCTACCCTCTGAGTTTTAAGCATGGTATTCTGATTACCAGATCTAGTCTAGCACTTTCATATTTTATTTTAACGCAGGTCTGACTGAGGTTAACCTGACATTTTGGTTTGTCTCCAAGATAAAAATGTGAAATTTGGTTATAATTCTGAAGGCATATTCAAATTTTAGTTCTTTCTCTTTCACCTTCTTTTGTTCATATGCCTTCATATATCTTTCTCTCTTATAGAAGGATGTTTGAAAATGTCCTTTAAGAGTTTATCCTATAAAGAATGTTTTTATATCCCCCCTCCTTTTTTCCCCACCCTTTCAAAGTATGTTTTATCTATTTTTGTATTTCTAATTTTATTCCTAGGAGAGATATGAAAAATTTCCCCAGCACATTCATATTGGAATTATTGTTCTTTGACAAATAATTTCTATCAGCATTGCAAGAGTTAGCTTCAATAATTAAAAAACAACAACAATATAAACCCTGTTAAATTCTTTAGAGAAATAGAGAGGATGGATGGTGATGCCTTTTAGTGCCATTTCTTTATCCCCTGCAGCAGCACACATCTGTTGGCTGCAACCGATCAGCCCAAGAACTCTGACGAGAGCAGCACAAACAGCCGGAACATATTCACCCAGTAAACCCCCAAAGAGTCGACATTTGTTTTATTGCTGCTTTTAAAAACCTAGCCATAAATAGAATCAGAGGGGGAAGGGCACCGATATTTCTCCATTTGCCACAGACTATTGGTGGGGGGAGAAGGAGGCTCCCAGTGGGGAAGAAGGTTTTTATTTTTATTTTTTATTAATGAAAATTATTTCCCGTGTAGCCCAATAGGATGGGTGCTTTGTTTTCTTTGGCAATAATCTGGGATAAACGACCCTTGCCAACCGTCTCCTAGTTTATACACCAGGGAGCCAGATTATAGCCCTGTAAAATGGAGCACCCCTCCTATAATCCCTTAATTAATTAAATGACAAATTTTGGTCTTCTCTAGTTCAGAAATATGGCTTCCGCATCGAGCGTTCAGTGAATTTATTGACATAGGGAACTGCACTGGTTGTAATTCAGCTTACTGTAGAAGTGTATTATATACTGTAGCAGAAAGAGGGAAAATCCAGCAAAAGGTTTGAAATTCCTTGACTATTTAGGTCTAAATTTTTCTAATTAAAAGTTTCAACTGAGGCACAGTAAGTAGATCATATGCCACCTGTCTAATGTGTCTCCCCAAAGTAGCCTGTGTTTACAGCTTTGATAGATGGCATTCTTGGAACACCTGTTTCTAGGGTTGATATTTTTGAAGCACTTTTTTTTAAAACTCCAGCATATTTAACATAACTTTTCCCCCTACCTCCTCCTCCTCAGCTCCGCTCTGCTACATGAAATATGGGAGACGACAGACCGTTTGTGTGCAATGCCCCGGGCTGTGGACAGGTACGTTTACAATATACTTTATTGTGAATGTCTCGTTGTGAATCAAAGTGGCTGTTTTATCACTAAGGCAAAGAGTTTAAAGCCGGTATTTTACGTGATCACTGGAGGTAATCAGATCAGAGGATTTGCAGTGTGTAAATCCAAGTTATGAGGAAGTGTAGGCACTCTACTGTAATGAAATCTGCCTTTCTCTCTTTCATATTGTTATTCTACTGGTGTTTGTTTTCCAACACGGTGTTGAGGAGTACACGTTGCTCTCCTTTCTAAACCTATCTATCTAAATACAAAGCCAAGTTTTGAAATATCTTCTCCTCAACGTTCATGGATATGAAAGTCAGCTTAATATATTTGGATAGGCAGCTGAGAACGCACCCATTCATTGTTAACCCCAATTTTCCAGAGTCTATTTGGATTTTTTAAATACGAAAAAAAGTTTCTTTTGACTGTTGATTCAGAAAATCATTGTTAGCTGCTATGGCAGATATCTAAGGAAGACAAATCCAACATAAAACCTGAGATTGCATAGCAATATATAAGCTGCAAGACTTCTCAGCATTTTCCCTGCTGCCATGTTATTGTTTGTGGATGTGTATATCATGTGTCAGATATTTTTCATCATATACTTTTTTAATAAAGTAATTTTTTGAAACTGCCTTTCCCCCCCCCATTTTGTACTTTCTTGGTTCTTCATCCTATACCTTCCCCTATTTCTGTGTTCCACAAAGCATGAATAAAGGAATACAACGTTTTCTCTGTCTTCATGAATTGATTTTATGGATCCTGAAGGGTTGTATTTCTTGTTCAGTTAAAAATATGTCATGTGACTGTCCAGTGACACTTACTGGTGGTGTGTGAGATTGCAGACTAGTTCTATTAAACATTGTAAATACTTAGACAAAAAGAAGAGAGAGTTACGTTCCAGACATTCCTAAGAATTGGAATTTGAGAGGTGGATGAGATGGGGATGGTGACAAGGAATAGGCAGAGGATGATTTCAAATTCCAGTAAATGCCGAAATTTTCAGAAAAGACTGAAAACGCATTGTATTCTGAAGTATTCAGCATTGTAGGGTGTATTTCCTTCCTTGTCAAAGTTTTCAGCTTTATTGTTGACTGCATGTTTTCTCCATGTGGTTTATACTTTTTTTTTTTTTTTTTTAACAATAGAGGCCACTTGGGAATATAGAGTAAATTTCTTTCACTTTTCAGACATCTGTATTGGAGTACATATCTGAACCTGATTCCTCCAAAATTTTGTGTGAATTTATTGATAAAAGTATTTAATTTGATTCCCATAATTGATACCTGGTACCTTTTTCACTTTTCTTCTTTACTTTAAAAACCTGCATTTTTGGTGAAAATATATATTTTTCTCATACTTACATTTATTTTTCTTCACTTATTATTTAAGCCACGTTACGCCTATAATCTCTCTTATATGTAGTGTGCTTAAAACCACCCAGACAGCCAAAACCGGTTTGGCTCAGTGGATAGAGCGTCCGCCTGCGGACTGAAAGGTCCCGGGTTCGATTCCGGTCGGGGGCATGTACCTGGGTTGCGGGCACATCACCAGCGGGAGGTGTGCAAGAGGCAGCTGATCGATGTTTCTCTCTCATCGATGTTTCTAACTCTCTATCTCTCTCCCTTTCTCTCTGTAAAAAAATCAATAAAATATATTAAAAAAAAAAAAAAACAAAACCCACCCAGACAAGGACTTAAAGAAATAAAAATGGATGATAAAAACAAAGGAATACATGGGAAAAGCATCTCTTAAGCTCTCTGAGGATGAAAGATCTGAATAATGTTTCTTGAAGCTGTCTCATCAGAAAAGAGTAGTTTTCACTGAAATTTGAGAGCTGGTTTCTTGTTTGTTTTTTTGTGGGGTTGTATTTTTGTTGTTGTTTTTCATTTTGGACTAGAGGTAGGAAATCAGTAGGTACTTTTCACTTTGGTTTCTTATATTGTGGAGTTGTTTACCATAAGCCTTTTTCTTCCCCTACTTCTCCTTCCCATCTCTGAATTGTTCGTTGGTATTTTGGTGGTTAGGATTAATGATAAACTCTGGCGTAAGTCTTGAAGACTTTTTCCCCTCAGTGGGTGCAGAGCTTCGGGAGACTACTGCCTTCTTTTGGAAGTTATTTGTTTCATAGAAAAAGAATAGAAAGCTGCAACTTAAGGCTTTGAAGGTAGCCAGATTTTTTTTTACCTTCTTGCATGCTAAAACTTTATGGTCAGGTGAAATTGTAGATCTTTACTTATATTTTAGTCTTCTTCCAAGTTTTTCCCATATCTGGTAACAAATACTAGTAACTCTAGAGTGGGATCCCTGCAAGATTTACTGTTATATGAAATAGTGAAAATCTAGCAGAGAAGATAAATTTGGTACAGTGAACTACCCTTGACCTGTCATCCAACTTCCTTATATATATATACCTTGAAAATGGTTTCATTCTGGAGACACCTGGAGGCCTTTAAGCTATTTTTAGACCTCTGTCATTGATTCAAATTCTTTTTTTTTAATTGCTTAAAGTATTACAAAGGGTATTACATATGTGTCTTTCTTTTCCCCCGCCCTTGACTATCCCCTGGCCTCTCCCACCCTCCAGCGTCCCATGTCCATTGGTTATGCTTATATGCATGCATACAAGTCCTTCGGTTGATCTCATACCCCTCCCTCCTGCCTCCCAAGTTTCCCCGGCCTTCCCGCTGCGGTTTGACAATCTGTTCAAGGCAGCTCTGCCTCTGTATCTATTACTGTTCAAAAGTTTATAATGGTCTCTGATTCAAATTCTTTATTCCAGAAATAGTAAAATAATAAAAAGGCTAAGTCCTAGGAAAGATAATAAGGACCATGATAATTTTTGTTAGGGATGGTTTAGAACTTAATGCTATAGAAGTCTCAAAAACCAGTGGCTTTTACCAGTTAGATTCTAACTGGTGGTTCTCAACCTTCTAGCCTTTTAAATACAGTTCCTCATGTTGTGACCCAACCATAAAATTATTTTTGTTGCTACTTCATAACTGTAATGTTACTACTGTTATGAATCGTAATGTAAATATCTGATATGCAGGATGGTCTTAGGCGACCCCTGTGAAAGGGTTGTTCTACCCCCAAAGGGGTCGCGACCCATAGGTTGAGAACCGCTTAGAGGAAGAAAGAATGAAAGCAAATTATAATTCAAGAGACTGATCCTTAAAAACCAACCAACAAACAAAAACTATAGGAATTTGGCATTATTTTAATATCTGTTGCCTGCCCAAGCTTTACCCCAGGTACCCCCAAACTCAGAAAACATCTTACACTTTAATATTAAGTTAGGAAGGTGAAAGGAAAATTCACCTAAAATAGACTAGTGGATTATACTCTCCACCATATAATCAAAACCACCAGGCTTTCAATGGATACATAAACATGTTTTGGTTGCTAGGTCTTTAATGGCTGTTATTTTTGGATTCTGTTCATGATCCACTTCCCAACAGTAAGTCTGATGTGACACAGCTGAGTTCTAAATATGCTGCCTGTACTTTTTTTTAGAGATGGCTGCTAAAGGTTGTGTTCTCTGCATTCTTATCTGAAAAGACAGGTGATGTGGCTTTTCTCTGTTGAGACTCTCTTTCTCTTGAGCCTCATCACCTTCATGAAGAGGAATTCAGGGAAAGCAATATTCCTACTAATACCTCTCTGTGGAGTGTGGCAGCAGAGGTAGTTAACAGAGCTGCCTCCAGAGAATGGGTTAGTGTTGCTAAGGCAGTCATCCCCCAGATTCCCTGTGACAAAGGGCTGGTTAAATTTGAGTTGTATGGGTTTTTGATGTGATGGTTAAAAGATAGCATATACAGGGTGGGGCAAAGTAGATTTATAGTTGTTTGTATGGAAAATAATACAATAATAAATTATAATACAAGAATAACCTCTGTGTTTTGCATATCACAACTATAAACCTACTTTTGCCAACCTTTTATTTTAAAAACATTGTGAGTATAAAATGGCTTTGCCTGTATGTGAGTGTTAAATAATAGAAATATAGTTGGTGGCTGAATCCAGCAAATCTTGTGATTTTTTAATGCTTTAGGAGGCATTTTTACTTGAAGGTGGATTATAAAGTAGGAAAAATTACTATGTATTGGTCAGTAATCTTGAATTAGAGATAGTATTTCATGAGGATGCAGTTAGATAACATACCTTTTGGATGCTTTTTCTCCAGTTTTTATTTTCAGTAGTCAACCAATTCCATATTTCTATACCTCTTCTCAAGCATAGATAGATACTGTATTACAGTACAAATTATTCATATTTAAGTAGTCTTTCTGGTTATTGTAATCAAGTCACTGAGCAGAAGCTGGTCATATAAGCTTATTACTTAAAATGTCTATTTCCTTACAAACAGGAACACATTTCCTATGAAGAGATACTGCTTAACGGATAGTATCATCCTATTATTAGTCCTTGAGAAAGGTTTCTGTAATAACTACTCTGTATCAATGCTGTCCTTTTAAGGAAAAATCTTTTGATTGTTTCTCTGTCCAGTGTGACCTTAGGGGCTGTTACTCTTTTTTTTCCCTTCTGAGAATACATACTACTAGAGCTTTTCTTCTCCCAGAGGACATTTAGGTACAAGTTGGGGTTCTGTTCATACCTTTCTGAGACATGAAATGTAACTTGCTCATGGAACTCCTGTTTTTCCTTCCTAAGGCCAAGAATAGCAGTAGAGCCCTAGTTGTGGTGGGATTGAGGGCAGTTTCTTGTACCTCCTTATCTTGTCATATAGTAGGAAAAATGTTTATGATGTTGTAGACCTGGCTTCACTTGGCATTTAACCAACCTCCAATGCTGTTTATTGCTTCGTATCCTCTGCCTCCATGAACATTATCCCTTAAATCTCTATTGCCTTGTAATATATGAGGCAACAAATAGTTTCTATGATTGGTTAAATGCTGGCATGCTACAAAGGTATATGTTTTACTGCCTGTATAACACAGATCTGTAGAGATTATTCCTAT